AAGTCACTGAATGGGAAAGAAGATGACCCCAAGGAACTATGAGTGAATGGTGGAGGCAACAAATGACTCTTGGGTTGAGGAGTAATAGAAATGGGGTACAAATATCCTCCACTTATGGCCATGAGGAGTTTAACTCTACCCTTTGAGACCCACCTGCAGGCCAAAATTTCCCAAAGTTCTCTACCTCTCCAGTCCTACAACTTAAATGACCCCTGGGACTCTGACCACTTAATTACATCTGAGCCTCAGAAGGTCCTCAGAAGGACCTTCACATAATGTGATTTCTGTCCAGAGATCTGAATGTCCGAAAGCAGAGTTTTCCTGAGTTTGAAGGATATGGCTGCAATAACAATGACTCTTGATGAAGTCCATCCCTGATCACCTAACTAGAGGTCATGGTCATGAGCAAGGCTGTCCTGGATATGATATTACCAATCAATAATCAATCCTGTTGTGTTCTGTTGCAAGCCAGTGTAAAGGTAAGATTTCTTCATGTCTTTCCCTCCCCAAGGTTGAATGAGCCTCAGTCTTCAAACACACTTTAGCAGAGTGCAAAGTCTATGACTGAATGGGTGCAACCCCAGCTATGGGAAGGGAGGTTCATCTGAAGCTGGGTCACCTCAGACAGCACCAGGCAGGTTAGGTCTCAGATGCAAGGCCTGAGTTCAATTCTCCTCTCTCCTCCCCTCTGCTGGGAGTAAACTGGATGGGAGCAGAAACTTGCAGCTCAGGGAAAGAAGAGAACTGGACTTTAGAATTGAGCAAAAGATCTAGAGCCCAAAGAACCTTCAAGGGAGGAGAAGGAACAGGAGCCCTGAGAGAAGGGACTCCTTTATGGCTTTACCCAAGGCTCTTTATGAACATGACCAGAAGTATAAAGATTAAACAAGAAAAAAATGTAGGTCCCAAACACTGTTCTACCTATGGGATCAGTCTTTTCAGTCAGCCTTTTTAGGTCATAGATTATATGTTTCCTCTTTGCAAAGGGCACAGAATAAAAGGACAGCACATGTGTTATTGGTTTCCCAGTTAGCTATTTGGTATGGTTTCTATAGTATCTCATTCCCAGCTTCCCTGGAGTCTCCGAGTGGAGAGAAACAGGTTTTCCCCTTGTATGAAATAAAAAGTGATAAATGACTCTTGGCATCTTTTTTTTTTTTTGCTTTTCTATTTAATTGAGCCTTTTCTATCATACACATCAGCTACTACTCATTCAGCTAATATAAATATAGCCACCCACATTTCTTTACCTCTGTAGGGTATGTCTTTCTACTACTTTTTAAAACCTTTTAAAAGGTTTTAATGTTTCCCCTTTTTCGTACTGCCTTCTGCTGATCACTGGAAAATTCACAGGTAAAAACTGATCAGATTTGTCCATGATTAAATTTGGGTTGTTTAGATTTAATGAGTCAGGTCCAACACTGTTTGGGGTGGGAAGAAGATTTCCATTTAAAATAAAATTTATCCTTTATTTTATAAGAATAAAGTGGTTCTAAATTGTATATTCTTACAATGGTGGAAAAGCAGACATAATACAACATGAAATATATCAATTGCTGATGAATAGAAAGTGACATGGCATGTTAGGGATGTGAATTTGCAGATGATAAGAGAATGATTCCAAAGGGGCTTAACCCTTGACCCACACCAGGTTCTGCAAGTCTGAATGTCATAAGTTGTATAAAAAATTAAACAATCATTTCCAAAGTTGCTCTTCAATCCTATTCACATATATCCAAGATATAAAAATATATTTTTTGGAGAGATGTAAGTAACTAGAAAAATACTCATGTTACAGTTAGGGCAGTAATTTATCATCAAAGATGTACATCAGAATGCCTGAAAACTATGAAAAAATAAATGTCCTGGTCCCAGCTGAGAAGGTTTGACTTACGTCAAACAAATGAATAAATGGACATTGGAAATCTGAGAAAAGCTTTTCAGTGATTAGTCTTTTATATTCACTATAGAAATACATTGATTAAATGAAAGCAAAAAAGATTCCAACATTTATTCATCTATCAACTTTTACTTTATAAAACTTCTAATTGCCTGTAGACAGGACAGAGGAGAGGTTGCTATATGGGGGTGACTTGAAAATGTGCTTTGTTTAGAAAATATTTGAGTACTCTGGGACTGATAACAGCAGATAAGTAAGGTGAGCAATGCTATTTGATATTATAGTACTTAAAAATATTTTGAGTGCCATTTTCTAGTAGCTAATATGTCCAAATACCATAGTACAAATTAGCTTTCCTGGTATCTCTAGATGCCAAGCACATTTCTCATACCATTGTCTCTTGGTTCCAAATGGAACTGACCTCATTATTCCATTAGGAAACCTGCGCATATCACACCTGCATTAGCTGACTCCCTCATTTTCACTCCTCCACTTCCTTCTCATTGCTTTCTGAAATTGTCTTCCCCCAAAACAACCACACTTTTAAGTGAAATAAACAGGACACACATGTGTAAATACCAAATAGTTTCTCTGGTATGAGAAGCTGAAAGTGTAAATAAGGATCAAAATGTATAACTTATAATGTGAAATAGGAGGAAAAGGTCTAAAGGGGAAGAGGAAGTGGGTGGTGTGGGAAAAGTAAGAGGGGAATGGAATAAATACAAGAAAAGCAAAAATGGAAACAAAGTCTTTGCAAATAGGGAGGGGTGGAGGGGTTGACCCGAGGGAAGGGGAATGGGGAAAAAATAAGAATCGGGATATATTATGTAAGAGTACAAATATCCAATGATGGATGACATTATATTGTGTACCTAAAATGTACCAATAATATTAATTAAGAAAAAGAAAAAACACTGAAACTTTAGAAAAAAAGAAAGAAATGCTGGAAGCCAGTCAGTGCATGTTTGTTGGGGGAAGCATTTATAGGATCACAGTGACATAGGAGCCATGAGAAAGACAGAAACTGCCCGTGTCCAATGCCCATTCAGTGATGCTGGTGGTTGCCCTGTTGGAGTCACTTGCAAGGCCTTGCATGGGTCTGAAAATTCAGGGGCATCCTTCCTCCTCTCCTTTTCTCACACCCCATACCCTCTCATTCAGCAAGTGCTGCTAACTATTCTCAAAATTATCCAGATCCCACCTAATTCTCTCCATGCCACACTGCTTTGGCTCTGGTATAACCCACCAGGACTCCTTGTTTGAGTTACTGCAGTACAGTGGTCTCCCAGCTGCTCTCTCTGCCTCTCCCCTACCCGTCCTCCTGTCTAGACCACTAAACAGACCTTTGGGAACTCTAAGATCATGTCAGTGTTCTGCACCTGGTCTGTGAACACCTCCCACCTGATGCTGAATCACACTGCAAGTCCTTCCAAAAACCACTGTACTCCACCTTCCAAGACCTCTGCTGCCAGGCTGGCCCACTCCAAAAACACTGGCCTCCTTCCTGTATCAGAGCCTTTGGAGCTGCTGTTTCCTCAGTCTGGAACACTCCTATTCCAGCTTCTTAACAACTGGCTCCTATCTGACTGTAGCAATAGACTCAGATGTCACTAAGTCATCAACCATCCCCTGACCCTGCTGTTTACAGGCACTACTGGAACCCACTGCTATACTTTCCAATCCAATCCTCCCAGTCAGAAAGCCTTTGTTCCCTAGGCTCAGCCACACCCTTCTCATTTACATTTCCTGCTTTCAAAACCACTTAACTCTTTCTCTATTACTCAATTTCTTTTGAATCTTCACTCTGACCATTCTTGGACATACTACATAGACTACTCATGTATTTCTTCTCACTGTCCCCCAACTGGGGCACAAGCCTCAAAAAGAGCAGAGAAGGTCATCTCCTTTACTGCTTTGCCTAAACTGCTGCATCAGGTCCTGCCACACAGCATATGCTTCTTAAATCTTTGCTGAATGGCAATGTAAACCTCACTTCATCCTCACACCCTCTAAGAGAAGTGCAAGGAGCCCTAGGGAGGGAGCAGAGAGGATAGGATAGTAAGATGCTGCAGTGTCACCAGTACTCCTACACATTTAACCCACCAATATATGGCTGGCTGTGTTTTTCCTTGGATTTTCCCCCACAGCAGGTATAATGTTCAATTCATGTGCGCAACATCTCTTCTTACATCACCCTCCATATAATTATCATGGAGAGAGAGAAGGTATGGCAAACAGAAAGAGGAAGAGATGAATCACAGATAGAGAAATATATGGATGGTGATGGTCAGTACATGGAATATTGGTGAATTTTATGCATACATGTATAAGAGAATAAAAATAAGCCCAGAGATGATAGATGTGCCATTGTTTCTGGAGAACTGGATGATGGAATGTACATATAGGTTGACAGGATGACTCATGGGTGATGGACAAATTGAAAGTATATTAATGAAATATTAAGGATACATTGATTTGAGATGAATGAAAGAATATACAAGTGAATAGATAGGTTCATGGATAGATGGATGGATGGGAGGACAGATGGGTGGATGATAGATGAATGAATGGGTAGAAAGTGGCTATCTTTGAATTCTAACTGGGGCAAAGTCTGAAAATATCTAGGTAAATGGCCACTACTGTGTTATAATTTAGATAGTTTCTAAATTGTAGACACCTTAAATAAATTGTGACAACTCACTGAAAAACTAGGTGTTTAATATACCCATTCTTAAAGAATCAGGATGGTAGTTACTTCTGGAATACAAAATATATAATCATATTACACCATTCTAATTCTACAGAACACTGTATTTAATTAACTTCTGATACTATGTCTGAAAATAATGTCAAAATATACAGTTTTTTTAAAAGGGGGTATTATAATCCACTTTTCTTTCTGTTATTATTAGACTCTTTCATATTTAAAGTACTTCACAATAAGAAAGAAAAAAATAAAATGTCCAGTTTGGTTCAGAAGAATACATTGAACTAGGAGGTGACTAACTGTCTCAGATTGTTTGTCCATATAAGTACACAGCTGAACCAATAGCATGTGGTCAAGCACACAGGGTAGGACAAGTACAACAGGTGCACGTACCATTTTCTGGCTTGTCTCCAAGAGCTCATCCTCTGTCTTCTGGTGCAAACAGTGAATCATGACAGCAGATATGGTGGCTTCACATCCAGCAGTAGCAGCAATTTTCTGCAGAGTTCAAGTGAAAGCTTTAGCCTCCCTCAGTACAAACAGAAGAGTTCTATCCCAAGCCCAACAAAGTGGGATGCCTGAAGAGCCTATAGACCATGGTAGGTTCTGGGTCCCAGAGCATGTTGTCTATGTTATTATTTGGAATTGTGACATGAGTCATATACATAATATCTATATGCCTATTGCCTCATGTCTTCTAAAGTGGGCTCAATGTTCTCAAATGTGAATGCCTCCAAAGACCTTGGAGATGAGGGTGGTGAAGATCATGGAGTTCAGAACTACACTGTCTGGGTTGAATACCACCTCTTAATTTTTTTTTTTTTTTGATACCAGGGATAGAACTCAGGACCTTGTGCTTGTGAGGCAGGTGCCGGAACCACAGAGCTAAATCCCCAGTCCGCATCTCTTAAATTTACCAGCAATTGGGCCTCAGAGTCTCCACCTGTACATGAATGTAATGATTACAAGTATCTTATAATATGTGTGACAAAGTTACAAGGAGATTATGTCTCCCATACATTAAAACTAGTGCATAATTCATGAGGCCTCAAAAAGATGATTCCCACGAAAGCACTTCAGAATATACAGAACATGATTTAAGCATGAGCCTCCTTGGCCATCCTCCCCCTCAGTGTCTTTAGAGAATCTCAGCTAACTCCCAAACAAGAAAAACACCTTATAATTCTACCACAGCCAAAGAAAGGGCAGAAGAGCTGTCCAGCATGAAACTTACCTCAGCTATGGCCTTGATATTGTTCCTAATTACATCAATACTGAAGGCCACACCACTCTCAGAAATGGCCCTATGGAAGAGGTTCTTGGCCAGTGGAGATAACATCTGGCAGGGGAGTAAAGAAGAGAAGATTTGATGCTCACAGGTAGGGCTCAGACACTCACATGCTCTTCTCGGCTTCTTCCACCTACTCTCTGCCCTGGTCATTCCCTTGAAGTGTCTGGTGATTAGTGGACATGAGAAGTCTTCTCCTATCCTGTTTGCATCCAAGAACCTCCCCAATTCTAGATTCCCCAAAAGACCATCAGCAGGATAAAGGCAAAGCCCAGAGCCAGGGACAAAACAAGAATTATGTGGCACCTGCTCATTATGACAATTAAAACTATTAGAAAGCTGTTTTAGGTATACCTAACCATAAATTATGTTTCAAATTTTAACTATTCATACTTGATCTTAATACAATTGGTCATACATCTGAAGACAGTCTGAATGTAGCTCCATCTCTCTGGCTACAGTGTTGACTTGGTATCCCCCAAACCTAGAACTGATCCTCTAAAACACAAAACAAATATCAAGATCAAAAATAATCTTTATGGAGGCACATTCACAAAATATCTAGTAATGCTCATGTTCTCATGTTGTATATAATAACTAAAATTCAAAAAATGAAGATCCAATAAGAAAAGATTGAGTAAATGAACGTTTTTGGGGGGAGAGTACTAGGGATCAAACTCAGGACATCACACTAGCCAGGCGGCACTGTGCCACTCAGTTAAATTCCACGCCCAAATGAACAATATTTCATTCCTCTCATACCATGCTACACAATTATAAAGGATAAAGAGTTCGGTATTTAGGGAAATGTGAATTGCTCTACAATAAAAAGAATGGATTCTTTCTTTACAAGCATAACTGGGAGACTAATGCCGAGTGGAAAGATGATAGATAGATAATCCACAGTGACCATTTGGGTAGTGGCATTTATATTACTGGGATGCTTTTGTACTTTTTTTTCTTTTTTTCTACTTTAAGAAATACAAGAATATTTTTCTCTGAGTACTCAAACTATAAAACTTATACATGTCTGAAAGTTACAGCAATAGACGACTTTCTGCTCAAGTCTGAGGTAGGTGGGGGTGCTTACAGCTACATGAACTTCTCAGTTCCCTAAATGTGCCCTATCAGTTTCTTCATATAGCAAGACATCTAACTCCCACGGCTTGTGTCTATGACCCGCCATCTCCTCACCATCTCTCCTCCACTCACTTTTGCTGCTCTCCTCTCTCAGCCAGAGACTGCTACCCTTCTTCTTGAACATGCAATAAACAGTGGGCTGCCTCTGAGAAAACTCCTGTCACTTCTCAGTGCCCTAGTTCCCCAAAGAACAGGCTGCCTTGGGGCCACATACTGACACTTTATCCAACTCATGTCCTCACCACTTTCTGCCATCAGTAATTTACATTCCCACTACATCCCAGAAAATACAGTGTGAGCCCTAACATTAAAATGATTCAGAAAAATGAAAAAGAACACAACCAAGTGTGAGGAGGAGGAATGAAACTGGGGCAGGATGCACCTAACAATTTTTAAGGCCCAGGATATTAAGCTGAGTTCTGAGCTACTGCAGGGCAAGGAACATTGAGCCTTGGCTCGCCACCCTCTGAGGCTGTGCACTGAGCAGAATCAACACTGAATCAGGAATTGTAAGCAGAGGTCCCAGGGCTGAATTGTCTGCTCTCCAAAAGGACACATAAACAGTCACATCACTCCTGGGAAGAGGCATGATGTCAGGAATACTTACAAGAACAGAGACACTTGAACCTCCTGCTGACTCCCCAAAGATTGTCACAGAGTCTGGGTTGCCTCCAAAGTTGGCAATGTTGTCCTGGACCCAGTGCAATGCAGCCACCTGGTCCAAGAAACCCCAGTTTCCCAGGCTGTGTTCATCCCCTGTGCTGTGTTAGAACAAGGTTAGTCTGTGCAGAGACCCCATGATCTATCCCTGCAGGATCCCAGATGGGCAAGGGTTTCCTTCTGAGTAATCCCCAGTAAGGACTGACTTTCCCATTCCTGACCAAGAGGTCTTCATCTGCCTGTCATTCATTGTGGCTTAGTGGAGTTGATCTAAAGAGCTGATCTAGGGAGCTGGAAAGTTCTTCTTTCCTTCTTCCAGGCCCTAGGCAATAAGCATCTACCATCGAGCATCCAACATAGGCCTCAAAGCAAAAGAACACTTCACATTAAAAGAAGCACTGTCTTCAACAAAATGCCACTCACACTGAAGACCACAAACAGGTGAAAAGAGGATATACTGTCAGACAGTGGGAAAAACAGAATTATGATTGTAAAAAGAGGCATATTTGGGCCATGGTGGACATTTTACAGATCATGACCAGGGAATGACTCTTTGAAGATGTAACATTTGGTAGAGACCAGAATAAAATGAGCACAAAGGGCTTTAAATATCCAAAGAAGGCAATTCCCCTTAGGAGTTGAAGAACTTATACAGGTCCCAGGAACAAGGAAAAAATGTAGGAGGATAACATGTGAGATGCAAGTAGCAAAGGAACAAAGTGGGGAGGGGGTAAGAACTTTGTAAGAGAAAATGACTCTATCAATATCAAGAACAGACACTCAGCTTTGACTAAGAACGATCAAGAAGTGGATGAAAAGTTAGTGTATTCTGATCATATCTTAAAAGTGGAACCAGGAGCACATACTGGCCAACTGCATATGAGCTGTGAGAAAATGAGAACAGTTCAGAATACCAAGGAGGCTCTGTCCTGAGCAACAGGAGGAGGGAGCATCCACCAGGGGCCTTGTTGGAACAGGTGGAGATTCTTCATTAGGGAGGATAGTAGCAATCAAGGTCTCAGTCTGTCCCTGGGAAAACGGGGTGCATGCAGACATGTACATGAAGCAATACAAGGTAGCTAAAGATGGCATCTGGAGTTCAAAGGGGAAGCGAGGGCTACAAACAGGGAGATGTGAAAGTGCTGCTGGGACAGAGAGGGAGACTAAAAGGCCTGATGATGTTGAAGAGAAGGAAAACAAAGGGCTGAGAAGGAGCAGCTAGGTGGAAGAGGGGGAGGTGGCCAGAGCCAGGAGAAGGCAGAATTTCTAAGAGGCAGAAGCAGCTGTCTCTGGCCAGTGTAGAGCGGTCCCATGAGGTTGGACTGGGTGCTGGTGGAAGTCACTGTTCACCTCTAAAGGAACAGCCTTGCAGCCTGGTCAGAAGAAAACTTGCCTGTACAAGTGTTCACTGCGCTGTCTCCATGAGATGCCCCCCTCTTCCTTTCCCTGGGAAGATGTGTCACATAGATCTGCTCTGCTGCCTGCTCACAGCTACCATCGAGGACCATAGTGTGCTGGGGCAGCACAGGTGAAAGGAGTTGAGTGTTTCAAAGGCAGGAACAAGGGGGCTGGGGCTTTCTTGGTAAATAGGAGTGTGAAAGTAGAATGAGTATTCTCCATAAAGGAATTGACAAATGCAAATCTCACAAGTCAGTGGACAAGTGTAGCTGAGGAATGAGATGGTGAGAAACTCCAATGATGAAGCTCCTGGATGCATAGAATGAAGGAACTTAACAAGGGTTCCCATGGGGGATGGCATGACAGTAACTGGGGCACACCATTGATGGCTATTATGCTTCGGATGTGTTTTGTCTTCCACCGTTCATGTTCTAGGCCCTCGGTCCTCATTCTGGTAGGATTAGATAGTAGGACATGCTATCAGATATGAGGTCTAGTACAAGATGATTCTTTAGGGCCATGGGCCCTGAAAATGATTAATATGGTTCTAACAAGAACATGTCCCACAGAGAGTGACTTTAAAAAAAAAACAGCAATGTAACCCCCCTTCCTGCTCTCTGGCTTTTTCTGTGCCCATATGGAAATGTTCTGCATATCATACATTTCATTACTGTTTTCTTCCATGTTGGGATACAAACACAAGGCCTCCACCAGAAGCCAATCCTATCAAAGCACTTGATCCTACTCTTTAAGCTTCCAAACCTGAGAGCTAAGGAAACACCTTTTCTTTATAGCTGTCACGCCTCAGATATTTTCTCATATCAACAGAAAATAGAATGAAGCAGTGGGACAGAACAGAGCCCAGGACCTTACCTCAAAAATCCCCCATGCTCAGGGAATACTGGATGGTCACGACCACCACGTTCTCATGGGCAGCAAGGGCCAGTCCATCATAGGTGGATGCCCCCCCCATCCACAGACCACCTCCATGGATCCACACCATCCCCTGCACAGAAGAAACACAGCCATACTGACTCCAGGAAGCAGAATGGGGAAGGACCGCAAAGCTAGCCCTCACTCAAGGAGGCCATTACCCAAAACCAACAGAGCCCACAAGGTTGCAAATGGCACTTTCTCTGTTTCTCTACTCCTGGTCTGCATTCCAGGCCATGCCTCAACTCAATTCCCACTGGAACCCATGCCAATATCCAGACCCATGTACAGTGTCCCTAAAAGGCTCTCCAAAATGTGAATGTCATCTTGGGAGTAGCAAAGGCAAGGATTCCACTTTTCCTCAACTCTCCATCATCCACGTGCCGAGAGCATTCACCCCCTAAACATAATTGCACAACACCCTTGTTATTTCAGCTTCATCTCAGTTAATGTTGATGAAATCAAGTTGATGAAACCAATTTCCCTGTGTACGAACATTTTCTCAAAACACAATAATATCCCCAATGATGCTCCCTCCAAAAATGCTTCCCCACTGATTCCTCTGCAGCCCAAATCCTTCACATGCTCCTAAGCCCAGCTCCCAACCTCTCCTTCAGGAAGCCTAAAATCATTTGAATAACATTATCTAATAGTCTACTATATACCAGGGACTATGATATGAATTGAAAATGAGAGCAGATACAATGTGTAATTCATGTTTCTTGCATTAAAGAAGCTCACATTGCAAGTAAGTACATAGATTTAACAAAATAATTTTATAATTACATTGTTAATTGAAAGAGGGAAAACTTATAGTATGGATGATGCACTACATGGTATTGTAAGCAATATAAAATTGACTATCCATAAGGTAGGCACTAGCAATGGTACCATTTAAAAGGAAAGCTGAGGCACCTCTGCCCAAGATTCCACAGCTTAGTAGCCTCACCAGAAGGAATAGAGCAGGCTTTCTGGCCCCAGAGTTCCTCTGCTGAGCTGCCCACTGACTGCAGCCCTAGGCATGGCACAGAAAGCCAGCTATTAGGGTAGGAGGGAGATCCTGCTGCTGCTCCATCTAGGGAGTCATCAGTGCTGGCTCTGCATATTCAGCCAAGACTGAGATAAACCTTCATATTCAACATTGAATACACATATGTGATGAACCCATTTGAAGAAACAGGATGACAGAACTGCAGAAATTGTCCAAGGCTCTCAGCTACGCAAAGACAGATCCAGGATTTCAACTCCGACCCTGTCATTCTAGAACCTCTGTCCATAGCTGTGGGTTTCCTCTTTTCAGGCTCACAGGGCTACTGCTTCTCCTCCACTTTTGATCCTTGCCTCACTCCAGGAATGGGACTAACTCAAGGTCATCTGTGGCTGAATAATGAGCCACAGGACTGGTAAGAAATTGTATGCTGAAGAAGTTAGGAGGTGTCTGTGCAGCCCAGACAGCAAGACCCCTGAAGGCAGGAGTAATGTAATCATGGTGCCATGATCTTCCCGAAGACTGTGTGTTGTAGGGCCCTGTGGGTAAATACCCAATGAATAAATGAGGGAGGTTTTGTTCCAAACTTCTTCTTCCTTAAATTGTATGAGTAGGAACAACTTGTAGTCCTAAGATCATATACTCTGCAACTCATGGCTCCATGCTAGATATAAATAGGACAATGCCTTTGTGTAGACACACATCCTCTTACACTTCAGGGATCCCCTCTTCCACCTTCTAGTCTTTAGCTGCCTACATACAAGTGACCCAGCATTTATGTTGCAAAGACTGATTTAATGACAATTAGGGAGGAAAATGGACAGTAAAATCTTAAATGTGTGTCCATTATGCTGCCTTGCTTCTGAAACCCCAGCTACTCAGGAGGCTGAGGTAGGAAAAACACAAATTCCAAGACTACCTGGGCAACTTAGCAAGACACAGTCTCTAAAGGTGCCTGATCTTCAGCACTGAAGGTGGAAAAGTCTCACATATGGGCCAAAACCAAAGGAAAGTGACTGTAGAATTGTCTCAGTCTCCATCCAACACCCTTCTATCATAGCACAGTGAAAGTTTCCCAGGGAGGTCATGGTGCACTTGGGAAAACACAAACATGTTTGATTTTCTAGTCCATGTCAATGACCAAGATTTCAAAATCAGAAGACCTGAGCATTTTTCCTATGTATCTGAATATGTGACCTCACTTTCCTCCACCTTTGTTTCACTATCTGTTTAAAAGAATGTTGTCTTGTTTTATTTACTGTAAGATTCTTCCAGCTCTGCATGTGTTGGAAATTATGTCTGAATTGCTCTCTGTACCAGCTTCTTAACATAGTAAAAGTAATCATTTTTCTCCTTCACTTAACATGAGGAATTAAAAAGTGAAGATATGCATTTCAGAGGTAGAGTAGCCTTCCCCAAAGGCCTAAGGTCACTAGAAAAACATAGGTGAGGAGTATGTGTATTTACCTGATGAAATGCAGCCTCTGTCTGCCAAACCCAGCTCTGGCCTTGGTTCCCCTCCCCCAACCTGCCTTCCCCTCCTTCCCATTTGCAGCAGAACATTCCTGATGTTGGAACTCACAAGACTCTACCAGTGGTGCCCATACTCACAGGCAGGCTGCTGTTCTTCTTCAAGTTGGCAGGAGTATAAATGTTTAGGTACAGACAGTCTTCAGAAAATGTCAGAGGAATCTTCTCCATTCTGTTTGTAAATAGCTCTGAGAGCTGCTTTCCCTGCACTGCATCTTGGGAGCACCTAGAATGTGAGAGAGAGAACACCTGAGCTTCAAGCAGGTGGAAGCTGGAAATGTCACCTGGGGCTGGACTTTGCACTGGGAAAATGAACCGTGTAACCAGAATTCCTCTCACAGTACCAGAGTCATTGCAATGGGTTTGAGGTTGCCTGTCAGTAAGGACTGTCTAATGCACAGATGGCCAACATTTACCTTGTGTGGGCCACGTTTAGTGAAGAGGAATTGCCTCAAGCTACTTATAAATACAGTACTTAGGATGAATAAGTAACACATCTCTTAAAAATATTTTTATTATCAGACTAAATTCAAACAGCAACAAAAAATAAAACTGGTTTGAGATTTGGCCTTGTTTTGTGAAACTTGCATCAAGGTCTGGTTCGATGAAAATGGTTGCAATTTTTAATAAGTTCTCAAGGTACCTGTTAGAAATGTTTTTATCTAATTTTATTCTGTGTGCTTCATCCATATAAATGATTGTTCACATATGTACATACTGTCCAAAAGCCATGACATAAGTAAGGCTCAACTGTGAAGCAAGAAAAATATTTCTCTTTCAAGACAAGTAGTAGAAAAGTTTAGTAAAGTGATGTGATCAAGTTGAACTGATTCAACTTGAAGTTGTCTGATCTCAACCGTATGTATTCCTGATATGGTTTAGATGAGCCCCAGAATGTTCAGAGGAGCTTTTAAAAGTTATGGGAAATTACAGGCACTGTACAGGTCAGATGAATGTGGTGTTAGGAGGTGTGGCCTAGTGAGAAGAGGTGACTCACCAAGGTAAGACCTGGAAGGATGAAGCTGCCTTCCCTACTACCCTACTTCCCTATTGGAAGGGTGAATCCACCATGATGTGAGCATCTTTCCTCTGCTAGACACTTCCATCATGCTGTTTCTTCCTTCAAGCCAGCAGCCAGAGGCTGTACCCATGGACAAATTTAGCCTCTCCTGCTTTGATTAGTGTTTGTTCTGTGTTGGGTATGTGTCATGAAGAGAAATGATTAAGAAAATTTCAAAAATGTATAAATAACTAAAACATTTTTCTCATATTGCCAATAGTATCTATGTAATTATTGCAATGTCATGAGAAAAAAAGTTCCTTGATATATATTTGTATTTCATATACCACAATGAATAAGAATATTTTTATTTCTCAAATTATTTCACCAATTAATACAATCAGCCCAGCTTTCATAATTAAATAGAAAACTTATTTATCTGCTTAATAACAATGAATAACTGTCTTCACAGGTGCACACACGTAAGTAGATAGAAACAGAATTATTGGCTATGCTGGCTTTTTCTTGTGAACAAAAATTATCCTAACTAACATCTGATGCATCTATGTTCTGAGTGGACTGACTGGAACATTTAATGTTAATTCACTTCCCTTCAGTCTGCTTCCCACTACACACACACACACACACACACACACACACACACACACACACCGTTTTCCATTGTAGCCTGTATATTCTATACAAAAGTATCATGAGGTACAGTGATAAATATATTCCTTAAAATTTATGGAATAATATTAAAAGATCACAGTCTTGAGGACCACATTATTGGCTGTCCAGACCCACTTGCAACCCACAGGCCAGAGAATGGACACTCATGGTCTAGAGTCTGCCAGACCATGTAGAGGGAGGACAACTTGGCACCATTGCAATATCCTGAACTGAGGAGGAGAGCCTGCCCATGCATTGACCAGCCAAGGTAGATGATATTTCCCAAGTCTGTTCTTTATTTGGTTTTGTACTGTGGGTGGTGGGGTGAGCATATTGTTCCTCCAGGTAACCATGTTCTAATCCTTGGGTGTGTGTGTGTGGCTGGGGGACTCTTTCAACGGAAGAACTCCTTCAATGGCTGACTCTTAGCCTGCAGCTGGTCACGGGGACATGTTTGTGGGACAACAGAAGCAAAATTCCCTTTCAGTCCTAAATCAACCACCAGCTTGCTGGTGAATGTTTGGTGAGTTTATTTTCTCAACTGGGCCCCAATCTGTCAGGTCCATAGGTTAGGTGCTTTCTCTAAGGATCTTGCAGCCCGAGCATGGGATACTGGTGTGATCAACCTGTCCCTGGCAATCACTATCAGCAGCTCTAATGCCAGGTCACAATGATACAGCAGAACTTATAATATATACCACATTCTGAATGCTTCCAGTATACCAGGTGCTGACTAAAGCTCTCCTTAGGAACAACTCACTGAGGTCTCAGATCAACTTCACACACGGGTCCTATTATTATCACCATTTTACAGGTGAAATAACTGAGGCACCCACAGATTAGGGAACCTGGCCAAGTTCAACTAACCAGGAAGATTTATGCTATGTACTGGCACATAATTCTGAGCACATCTTCTAAATTTCCATGTTGAGAAATTTCCCATAAATCACCAAGATCCGGGGACATAAAGTAAGTCAAATGTTAACAAAGTGAAAAAATTCAACTTTACTACTATTTAGGTAATTCCAAAATAAAGAGCAAAAATATATTTATTATTATTGGATTGCTATTTTGTTTTTGCTTGTGCAACAGCCAAAATCATTCTTTTATTAAACATATATATTAGCACTTCCTCTGAACATGAGTTTTCACATATAGATTGAAGGAGTGCACATAGTTGGAATGCTAAGGTGGCAGAAGCAGGATCCCGGGAAGCTGCACAGGTACTTTGCTGGGGAGAACAGTGTCTGAAGTGAAATTAGTTTGCCCTGAGGGTGACTGTGAGGCTGCCTGGAAGCTTAGAGTTTTCCTCTGAGCTAGTTTGCATAATTAGAAATGGAGACACTGCTGGGATTTTGAATTTGACAAGTCAGCATGGCATTATGCTCTGCACAAACGTGCCTTTTCACCAACACTAGTCCTAGCCATGTCAAGATTCAAGGCAGGAGAACAGAAAGCATCGTTACTTGTCCTCTTTCTCATGTGCCAACTGCTTATTCCCGGTACTTTCATTATATTCTCGCATAGTACATCATCCATGTATTAACTAACAGGTATACTGGTCATTGTCTCTCTCTCCTGCTAGGATGCAAGCTTCAGGAAGGTAGGGGTCTTTGTTTTCTTTACTTATAGATTCTTAGCACCTCGATCATGCATGCAATGTAATAGGTGTTCAATTAGCACCTAGATCATGCATGCAATGTAATAGGTGTTCAATAAATATGTGCTGAATAAAGGCCTCTAGAAATCTGTGATATTGTCAGAATGTTCCCAAGAATCTACAGTATTCTAGAGAATTCCAAAAAAATGTATAAACCAATAGGAGGGTTGTCTTCACATCTTCCTATCTCAGTCTGAGAAAAAAATAACTATCATCACCAAAAGATGCTAAAAGCCACCACACCTACTTACATGGGAGGGTAAGAGGTGGTGTTCTTCACAAAGTCCCATGGTACTGCAGGCTGTGGAGGAGCAAACCTCAGGGATCCAAGAGGGGGTTTGGCAAAAGGGACTCCCAGGAAAACTGACACAGGCTGTGCAAATCCTTTCAGGCTGAAATATTTTCCCAGAATTTTGCCATTCACTGTGTCTACCACAGGTGGTGAAGGTGAGTGTTCTGCTGACAAGAAGATAAAAGGTGAGACCTGGATTCCAGGTGGAGTTGCCATTTTCTTCACCCATGATATCAAATAAATCACCAGAAAGGTTTTCAGTTTCTTAGTTAAAATGTGAATGCAAAACAGTGTCTTTCTTACCTCAGAGGGAAAATTTAATGGATAAATTGGAATGGGAAATATAAAAGTAAACAGGCTCAAATAAACACACCAAGGAGAGATGCAGCCTGCAAGAAACAAGGTCTTTGCTTTCCTAGCCACAAGCTTCTATAAGCATGTCTCCACTAGAGACCAGGTGCTGAGCTGCATGCTAGATGAGAAGATGATAAGTGGTGATCCAAGTTCTGTATTGGGTTGACCTTGTAGTGAGAAGTAGTCACCAACATACTTAATCTAAAGAAAAGGAAGCATGACCTTCTGTCTTTGGACAAGAACTGGAAAGTCAATAGAGAATTTGAAAGAGGCAGTGAAGCCTTCTGATTACTATTATCACAGAGATATTGAACTTGCAGTTGGGCGAGAAGTGAATAAGGAATGGTGGGAAGGGAGAGTAAATCAGAGAACCTGTGCAGAGATATAAACACAGCAAACCCAGGACCAGGCTGGAAAAGAGTGAAGGGTTCTTAAAGACAAACAGAAGGGGTCCTTGCAAATCACTCTAGAATAAGCAGATACCTGTAGGGAAGGACTTTGGAAGCCAGGCTAAGAATTTTTTTTTTTTTTACTTTTTTAGTGGCCAAATAAGAAGCAGGATCAGTTTTGCCCTAAAGGACATAACAAGCTTCTAGAATATTTTGGTAGCTCTCAGAATAGCCGTCCAGGGAGGATGGAAGACTAGGTATCAGTTCCTGGTCTATAACATTTACTCTATTTGGAGAAGCAGATAATTGTTTCTTCTTATGGTTTGCATCTAGATGTCCCCCCAAAGCCTCATGCAGTCAAGGTGGGGCTTTTTCACAGGTGGCTGGGTCTAGAGTGTGTGATGCTGGGATGAAGGGTGTGTGATTACTAAATTAGTCCACTGATTGGTTTGGCATTGTTCTGTGCATGATTGCTTCCCATGCTAATGGCAGGTAGTCTAGGTAGAACATAAAGAGACAGAAAAAAGGTGCTATTGCCACTTGCTGCTTGTAGCTTCTAGATTGCTGTTTGCTGTCTTCTGCCCACCATGAAACTGTTTTTGCTCTTCTATGCCACCCTGCCTTGCAACCAGCCAGCTGTGAATTGAAACCTCTACAAAATGTAAGCTAAATAAATGTTTCCTCCTTTAACTTTGGACATCAGATATTTGCTCTCAGTAATGAGAAAAGGAACTGAGACTTTTCTCATCTCTCTGCAGCTTACTCATCAGTCATGGTTCCACATCCAGTAGGTCTAGCATAAACTAACTTGATCCTCCTAAAAGAGGATGGTGAATTTTAGGACTCTAAATCATCATTACCCATGGAGTCTTCTCTTACCTGGTCTTTATAATCTCAATGCATCAGAACACCTCACACAGTATGTGTTTTTTTATTCCCTCATGCACTCAGTGTTCCCCTTTAGAATAAAACAGTATGTCAAATTATCCCACTTTGAAGCACCTGGCTAAGAAAGAAAATAATAATCCAGATTTGATCTATGTTATAGTTTGGGTCTGGATGTCCCCCCCAAAGCCTCACATGATCATAGGCTTTATTTAGAAAGTGTGAAGCTGGTATTGATTCATGGTGCATGCTAGGCTCAAGGGCACTAGGATTAAGGGTGTGAGTGCTTCCCACCCCAAGTAGTCTGAATAAGATAAAAGAGACATGTAGACACAGGTAATTTGGTCCTGTTACCTTTGCTGCCTTGTGTGTGCCATGTTGTTTCTGCTCTGCCATGCCTGTTTGTCATTCCTACCTTGGAGTTGGCTAATTATTGACTGAAACCTCTACCTACTATAAGAGAAATAAACCCTTTCCCCTTTAACTTTTGGTATTGGGTATTTTGTCTCAGCAAGAAGAGAAAAGTAACAAACACAGTCTAACAGATCGTAAAACTCTACTGTGAAACAGGTTACAAACAACACACATGTCTGGTGGTATCAATTATCATTTCCATATTCTGGAAAATTAGGGTATGTTGCTGTTGCTACTATTGCTAGTTATTGCAAATAACACCAAGATGAAATTTCAGGAGACACAGAGAGTCTCAATTGATAATGATGTTTTAACTTACATTTTTTGCCTTAAAAATGAATTTATCTAGATATTACTCCATAGGAACTTGAGGAGGATCCATATATTAAGCCAGTTATAGCCAATAACTGCAAACTGTTTATGGAACCAGGTTACAAACACATATCCGCTCCTATGTTAATGAAAGCAATTTCTATAAATATTTCTATTGTCCTTGTTCCTAGTTATTACCAGTCACATCACAGATGTCCATCCTGGAAAGTATGTGTATGAAGATAACTTTGGGATAAGATATTGCATGTTAGTGCATTTCAAATTTCTGCACTGAAGATAGATCAATTATAGTAATGATGAAGAAATATAGAGATGTAAACAGGGAATGGAAGATTTGCTACCTCTTATCAGATGTGGGGGGTGTCTAAGGTGAAGACTAAAGGACAGGCCTAGGATCCTACCTCTGTGTTAGACAGGAGAAGTCAATGAAGGTGCAGGTAAGAGGAAGCAACAGGTCAACGCCTCCATGGGACTAGAAGTAGGTGATGAGGGACAGGTGGAGGTATCCACTTCTAAATGTGATGGTGCACACAATAAGTATGTGTGACCTCACTATATTTCCATGTGAGAGAACAGAATGAGCTAAGAATAAAGCACAGAAGGAGCTACAGATGAGACTGAGAACACCCAAAGTAGTAGTGGCAGGAGAAGCATGGAATGTCAGGGCAGCCCAAGGAGAAAAGGAGGGGAGCACTCTAGCCTGAGCAGTGAATCAAAAAAGGAAAGAAAAGGCACAAATCCATGCAATGAAGAATGAAAAAGGGGAAGCCACAACAAATCCAGCAGAAATCCAGATACTCATCCATACCTACTTCGAGAACCTGTACTGTAATAAAATGGAAAACACAGAAGAAATGGACTGATTCCTAGATACATATGAATTGCCAAAATTAAATGAAGATATAGAAATTCTAAATACCCCAATAACAATGAGTGAAATTGAAAATGTAATAAAAAACTTACCAACAAAGAAAAGCCCAGGACCTGATGGCTTCGCTGCTGAATTCTACAAGACATTTAAAGAAGAATTACCACCATTACACCTTAAACTCATCAAGGAAATTGAAAGGGCAGCAAGGCTTCCAAATTCATTCCTAGAAGCAAGTGTTACTTTGATTCCAAAACCAGGGAAAGACCCAACCCAAAAAAGAGAACTACAGGGAAATCTCCCTAATGAACATAGGTGCCAAAATCCTCAACAAGATACTGGCAAACAGAGTACAAAGTGTCATCAAAAAGATCATACACCCTGACCAAGTCGGATTTATCCCAGGGATGCAAGGATGATTCAACATCTGTAAATCAATAAATGTAATACACTATATTAACAGAGTCAAGGACAAAAACCACATGATCATCTCAATAGATGAAGAAAAAGCATTTGACAAAATCCAACACCCATTCATGATAAAAAACGATACAGAAAATTGGAATAGGAGGACTTTATCTCAACCTGATTAAGGCTATCTATGAAAAACCAACAGCCAAAATCATACTAAATGGTCAGAAACTTAAAACTTTCACACTAAAGTCAGGAATAAGACAAAGATGCCCACTATCACCACTCCTGTTCAATATTGTTCTGGAAACATTAGCCATAGCACTTAGACAAGAGAAAGAAATAAAAGGAATAAAGATAGGAAAGGAAGAAGTGAAACTGTCATTCTTTGCTGATGATTTGATACTTTACATAGAAGACCCAAAAAACTCAGTCAAGGGTCTTCTAGACCTGATTGACAGATTCAGTAGAGTAGCTGGATACAAAGTCAACACTCAAAAAACAATAGCCTTTTTATATGCAAATAGCAGACCCATTGAGAGAGAAATTTGGGAAATAATCCCTTTTACAATGCCATCTAAAAAAATGAAATATCTAGGAATCAACCTAACAAAGGAAGCAAAAGACTTCTACACCGAAAACTACAGCACTCTGAAGGAGATTGAAGTGGATATAAGAAAATGGAAAGATATCCATTGTTCCTGGGTAAGAAGAACCAATATAGTGAAAATGGCCATACTTTCACAACTACTATTTAGATTCAATGCAATGCCAATTGAAATTCCAACAATATACTTCACAAAACTAGAGAAAACTATCCAAAAATTCATTTGGAAACAGAAGAAACCTAGAATAGCAAAAGCATTTCTAGGCAACAGAGACATGGCTGGGGACATCACAATCCCCAACTTGAAACTATACTACAAAGCTACTGTGATAAAAACAGCATGGTACTGGCAAAGAAACAGACCCAAAAATCAGTGGAATAGATTAGAAGAGAAACAACTCCAGGCATACTCAGTCACCTCATCTTTGGCAAAGGAGCCAACCACCCTCATTGCAGGAAAGATAGCTTATTTAATAACTGGTGTTGAAAAAACTGAACTTCAACCTGTCAGAGATTAAAATTAGACCCATACCTATCACCGCTCACTAAACTAAGATCAAAGTGGATTAAAGATCTAAATATTAAAACAGAAACACTAAATTTGCTGGAAGATAAGTTAAAACTCTTGATGACATTGGCATAGGAAAAGACTTTATGAACAAACCTTCAGCAGCATGGGAGCTAGCACAAAGAATCAACAACTGGGATCTCATCATATTAAAAAGCTTCTGCACTGCAAGAGAAACTACCAACAGAGCTAACAGATAACCTACAATGTGGGAAGAAATATTTAGCAGCTCTAGCTCGGACAAAGGTCTACTATCAAGAATATATAAAGAACTGAAAAAAGTCAGACCTCCCAAATTCAAAGACCCAGTTCAAAAATGGGCATCTGAAATGAACAGACATTTCTCAGACAAAGAAGTAAAAAAAGCAAATAAATATATGAAAAAATGTTCAACATCACTGGTCACTCGAGAGATGTTGAAAACAACACTGAGATTCTACCTCACCCCACAAAGAATGGCTGCTATCAAGAAATCAACCAATAACAAATGCTGGTAGGGGTGTGGAGAGAAAGGAACCCTTCTCCATTGTTGGTGGGAATGTAGATTGGTGCAACCACTGTGGAAATCAATATGGAGATACCTCAAAGAACTAGGACTAGAGGTCCCATTTGACCCAGCTATTCCCCTACTGGGACTCTTCCCAAAAGAATTAAAAGAATCATACCATAGCTATATATATGGACCTATGTTTATAGTGGCGCAGTTTGTAATAGCTAAAGCTTGGAAACAGCCCAAATGCCCATCGACAGGAAACTGGATAAAGAAGATGTGGTTTTTTAATAAAATGGAGTACTACTCAGCCATAAAGAATGAGAAACTAGAGACATTTATTGCTAAATGGATGCATATTGAGGCCATACTCTTAAGTGAAATAAATAGGACATACATGTGTAAATACCGAATAGTTTCTCTACTGTGAGAAATTGAAAGTGCAAATAAGGATGAAAATGATTAAAATGAATAATTGATAATTTGAAATAAGAAAAGGTCCAAGGGTTTGGGGATGGTGGAAGGGAAAGGGGAAAGGGATGAAGGGAGAGAAAAACATTATGGGAAAAAAATTGAATCAAACTCTGTGTAGACAGGGAAGGGTGGAGGGGGTGAAGTTTGCACAGGTAATGGGAGAAAAATAAAAACTAAGATGCATTATGTTCTGGTACAAACACCCAATGATAAATATAAATGTATTTTATACCTAAAATGTATCAATAAATATATATATTAAAAAAAGAGCCACATCAGTCCAGGCTCATTAATAATGCAAATATATATTTCACAGTCCCCTTCTACTTTCCCATCATTGCAAATACTTAAAATATCTAATCACTTTCTCATTGTAAAATCAGAAATTTAGTACTTTTACAGAAAGTCTTTTTTTCCCTTCAAACCATCTTTGACTTAATTTATTAAATCAAATCAAACCACAGCTCTAGGGATGAACATCAGTCTTCACTTGGTCATGTCTCAGGGTCCAGCAGTGGCTTCTGGATAGCTGGAGATGAAATCTTTCAGAATTTATTAGCAAGTAGTTAAATTAGAAACCAATGACAATAAGTTATAATCTTTCTTTTTCAAAATGTTAGCACAAGTTTGAAGTACATCATGATTACAATCATCATGGGGAGTTAGTAAATGTACATAACACACCCTAATTCTTTTTTTATCCCCTTAAACTCTCTTTGTCCTCCCTCCATATCTGCTCCCCTTCCCTTCTGCAAAAGATTTATTTCCCTGTTTCTTACTATCTTTTATTTTCCTCTATATTTATACTTGAGGATTCTCATATAAGAGTACCTATGTGATATTTAAGCTTGTGTGTCCGATTTATTTATTTTGTAACTTTTCTCTTTATCTTTTGAAACAAGGAAAATGTGTTAGTAGTGACTCAAAAAGACTAAATTCAGGAAGAACAGAGTTTGGAGCCTACAGTTTTGTCTTTTGTAGTTTTCCTGTCCAGGACAAGGTATTGGTAAATAGTTAAAGAATGAATAGATAAATGGACGGATCAATGACTAGAACCAGGGGCTGTGGAGAAATGGAGTTCATTAACTATAAGAACATCATGATAAAAAAACAACTCTGCCCAGAAAGTTAATAAATTCTATGGACCTGGAGGTGTGCAGCTGTAGACAAAACCATATATTTCAAATACTATAAATCCAATTTACATATTAGAAAGGGACTGGGTGAGTGTAACTTTGCTTGCAAACATCATAACTTTGAACTCTAGGAAATAGCAGCCCACGAAGTTACAGGACATTTCCTAATCTCCCAGATGGGTTGTCAAGCTTGTTCTAAGGACCCCACACCAAAGGTGTACTGGCCTGAAGGTGGCTGCCTGCTAGTGTCTATCTTTCAGAAGCTCATGGTGCACTGAGATTAGAATGTTACAAGAGAGTGACGCTTATGTAAGAAGTTGTTGAATGAGTTTCTGGTTTTGTGTAATCTGAGAGTTGAATACAGACTATTCAAATAGTACAGAATAAACTCTGGTGGGGCGTGACTTGGAGGTCTCAGTGGACAATCAGGGAGGTTTATAAAAGAAGGAAAACATTTCTATCATTATGCAATTGGGCTGGATGGGCAAAAGTCTCAAGCTCTAGGGCAGGAACCAGTGTACTCCCAGGTAGTAGCCTGGAGACTTCACTGGCATCAGAGCGGCTGACTTTCCAAGATGTGGCTCTATACTCTGGTCTTCGCCTTTCTCACCACTTTCACCGTTTGGGGTGAGTCCCTCTGAAATACAGATATGAGGAGGTACATTTGGAAATTCCAGTCTTTAGTGGAGGTGAGCAGAGAAGTGTATAAAGCAAGGGCATGACAAAGTGCACTTCAGCGGTGGCTCACTTTCTGGACTTGGAGTTGGAGCAACTGAGTCCAGCTATCCTGGGGCTATAGGGGAGGAACAATGGGCTGATAGTCCAGCTGCAGGTCTCTGGTGCAAGAGGGAAATGAGATAACCTTATGCCTTACATATGAGGAATTAAGAGAGCTCATTTTATTCCCCCCTTCATTATCAGCCCAGATTTGGTCCAATCATAGAAGGTTCTTAACAGAATTAAATAATCAATACAGGAATCAAAGTGGGGATCTGAATCCCAGTTATATGCTTTTAAACTGTGTGTTTTGGGGAAATGCACTTAATTTAGCTCTGTGCAGATTACTTTATCTCTAAAACAGGGATAGGGCAAGGCATGGTAATGCATGCCTGTAATCCTAGTACTCAAGAGGCCGAGGCAGGAGAATCACTGAGAGTTCAAGGCCAGCCTAGGGTCCATAGAGAGTTCAAGGCCATCCTGAGCTACATAGTGAGACCTTGTCCCAAAAGAGTGAATGAATGAATGAATGAATAGGGATGTTAATAGTACCTACTTCATTGGGCTGTGATGAGGATCAAATGATTTCTATGTCTAAAGGGTTTATGGTTTATAGTGCCTGATCTAGAGGAAATATTCAAAGGGATGAGTAAAAGGATTAATTTTAAATGGAGTGTATTAATAGGAAATTTGACATATAGCAAAATTAGGGCATGATCCAATGGTCTTCCAAAAGATAATTTGTTACAGCTGCCAAGAGGAGGGGGGCACATGGGGAAACACAGGGGTCAACAAGGAGGAAGAGGGAAGGAGGTGCGAATGTGGGCAAGAATCTTTACTGTGGTTTCCACTGGAAGCAAGAAAGGAGGCAGAAGAAGCTGGTTTAGGGTTGGTTAGTTGGACTTATTTTTGGAGATTTGAGAGCACAGGGGCTGTCCTAGCAGTCTGAAGCCTGGTTCTGGGTGATTTAGGTAGGTGAACAAAATATGTAACACTAATAAGGGAGTTGTTTGGTGTGTGGGCACTGGAATGGTTGGACCCTAGGGGTAATAGTTTTTCTAGTCAGCAGAGCCTCACAGATCAAAGCATCAGATACATGCACATAAACACACACATCCACGCACACTCACGCGCGCGCACACACACACACACACACACACATACAAACATGGTTAATATTAGCATTGGCTCAGTAAGGCATTTTTTGAGATGTGTAAGAAACTAGAATGAACATCTGGTACATAGTAACTGCTCAGTATGTGCACAGTGTGTGTAACCTAAGTGGTGACTGCTGTTACCATTCTAGATTAAGCCACCCACACCATCCACATTTTCACCCTGGGTAGTCTGGCTTCTACCCATTTTATCTGGCTGGAAAGTTATCACTGACTGAGCTAATGCAGGCTACACCTAGATATTTCTGCTTAGAGGTTACTTCCCTCACCTCTTTGGAGCACTCTGCACTCCCGCCAGCCCCTTTTCCTCTTCTCCCTGGGATGCCCTGACGCTGTGCCCTTCTGCTGCCACCTCTCTGGTGGATGTGCTCAGTCTCAGCTGCAGCTATCTCTGTGCTCTGTTTTCAGCTCATTCTCTTCTCTCACAAGGGTTTGCAGTGAAGTCACACACACACACACACACCCATGCTGTGCACCCTCACCTTCAGGTGGCTGCCTATACCTGTCCCTCACCAGCAGCTTCTAGTCTTGTGGTGCCCTCACCCTATATCATTTTCTTACCTGGATTCTGACTTCCCAATTGAACCTGACTGATACGAAGCCAACATCACACATCTACTCTTTAGTCTCCTCCTCTCCCTTCTACAGACCCACATCTGGTCAGGGACCAAGTCTTCTTCCCCAATTCCTCATCTACATCTCCATATTCCTCCATAGAATTTATTTTTTCTTTTAGTTACAAAAAGGGATCTATATTAATTGCAGAAGCCTTAGAGAACACAAAGAAATAAAGCATCCTGAAATGCTACCACCCATGGGTGTTTCAACATACTTGTTTCCAGGAAGTTCACCTCAATGTGATTGGTGATAATTAACAAGAAGGACAAAAGGAAACAAGCATGTTATTTTCTCTTAATAACATGAATCATGGACCTGGATTTTTTATACTGACTTTCAAATTGGGCATTTCTAGTGTTTTTTGGCTATTCCTCTTGGTAGACAAATGCGCCTCAACTTACAATGTGGTTATGTTGTAATAAATTCAGGATCCTAAATTTGGGAAATCAGAAGTCAAAAATAACATTAAAACATCCTAGGTTGTGGATCATTTGTATATGCCTCCCAGAAAGTTGATCCTGTTGTAATTTGTAATAATTAGCAACAACAAAAACAACATCAATGTCTACAGTGTGGAACTGGAGATTTCAAGGCTGGATATAATCAAGGATCTAAAGTTGACTTGCCTCAGGAAGTCAGATGGGTAATGATGCAAGAAGGTAGAACATGCAAATGACCAGTACAGCAGCACACAAGGCCTGGCTGGAATAGAGTGAATGACCTATGAACAGCACTAGATGGAGTCCATGGCTTGGAATCCCAAACCATCTAAGTCTCAGTTTCTTCTCAAGTAAAACAAGGCTGGTGGATGCTCTCAGTCTCAGCTGCAGCTGTCTCTGTGCTGTAGGAGGAAGATCAGATTAGTTCACTTGGGTCCCGTAGCAGGTAAAACCAAGACTGATGAGGAAGATTCAGGGAGATGAGGAACAATTGTTTCTTCCCTGGAATGGAGCAGCAGGAACTTGATGCCAATCTATCTCCTTTCTGGATGGACTTGTGAGAGCCAGACAAAGAATATTTTAGAACTTTAGGTTGTTTTATTTCATAAGTGTTTCTGCTGCTTATTTGTCCTCTGAATAAAAAATAACCCACCTCCCTGGTGTTTAAGACCCTCTCTGACAGGCATCCACTCATTCCAGGCTTATCTTCCACTCTAGATGGACTCCATCTAGTGATGACCATAGTTCACTCATCCTATTTTAGCCAGGCCCTGTGAGTTACTGTCTCTAACCCCTTGCATGTCCTACCTTCTTGCTTTACTCCCCATGCCCTTTTTACTTCCCTTACTCCTCCCCTTTCGGTAGGTCCCACCTCCTCTATGATCCCATCAGAAGGGCTTCACTCCATCTTCCAACTACTCTAGCATCTTCCTGGTCCCTCTTCCAGTACACAGTCTCTTTCTTCCCACAGTTAAGTCACATTTGTCTGTGGCTCCTTCCCCCTACAAGGTCAGCCCTCCCTAGAGGCCACCTTTTGTTCATCCTCTCATCTAGCATGAAGCTCAGTTCCTGCATCTTAATGGATATATGCTCTCAGAAGATTCTAAGAAGGAAACTAAATATCTTGTTCATTTACAGAAGCTCTCTTTGCATTGAGTTTTGCCTGAATGCTTTTTTATCTGCAGTTCCAATTTATTTCTTCAGTCATCTCTGAGTTAGGAAGGACAATTTTACTCACCCTTGTTTTACTTGAGAAGAAACTGAGACATAGATGGTTTGGTTAACTTATTCAAGGCCACGTGACTAGAAAGAGGAAAACCTACCTAATCCAGGTCTCACTTTTCCTTTCTGATGCGTCCTCATTTCCTATCCACTGTCCAGCAGGGCACACATCCTCGCCACCTGTGGTGGACACCATGCATGGAAAGGTCCTGGGGAAGTATGTCAGCCTGGATGGATTTGCCCAGCCTGTGGCAGTCTTCCTGGGAGTCCCTTTTGCCAAACCCCCTCTTGGATCCCTGAGGTTTGCTCCTCCAGAACCTGCAGAGCCATGGAGCTCTGTGAAGAACACCACCTCGTATCCTCCTATGTAAGTTTTGGCCTCTTTCAAGGGGATGTCTGTCTCACAGGGATGTGGAAGAAGTCAAGGGAATCCTGTGATTGGCTTGTCCTTTGTTTTGACATCCTCAAGAGCACTGTGGAACCTGAAGACATTCTAGAACTGTCACAGTTTTCCACAGCTCTACATTCAGCACATACTTACTAAGCACTTATCACATGCCAGGCACGTCTTAGGTTCAGAGAATCCATCAGTGAACAACAATAAAAATAAAGACCCCTACCTTCTTCCAGCATACATACCAGGAAGGACACAGAGAAAATAAACAATATGCAAGGTAATAAATGAACTAAGAAATTTTCTAAAATATCACTGTGGTTCAGAAAAAAGTTGAGGAGATAAAGGAGAAAAGTAGTGACTCAATCCCTTCTCTATCTTTATTTTGCCATGGCTGAGTAGCAATGTGTGTAAAGGTGTGCGAGAGGGATGGGGTGCGCTAAGGGTTCACTAACTTGGCCTGTTTCACTCCCAGATGTGTCTGCACACCTAGATATGGGCCCACAAAAGGTAAGCAAGGTCCAGTTAACTTGGTCAGCTGGCAGGGAGTTCCAAGGTTTCATTCACCTTCACAGCTTCCCCCTGAGCACCTCAGACACCTACACCCATCTGGTCAGATCTTAGTCATTTCCTCAGTCTTCTCCTGAGTAAGGCCTGAGGATTTACCCACTCCTGCTTCTGGCTGCCTCCTTTCCTTTCTTTGACAAATAATATTCACTGTTTTACTTCCTGATTGCAAATACAATGCATATATATCTCTGAAAAATTAGGAAATACAGAGAAACAAAGGTAAGAAACCTAAAATCATGTACAATTCCACCACTCAAAGAGAACTGCTGTTAATATTTGAGATGGTGTTTTCTAGTCTTTTATCTGTTGCATACCTTCTTCCTTGGAAAGGAATCAAACTTGCAGTTTGGATCACTGCTTCATATATAAGTATAATATCAAAACCATTCTATTTTATTGATTATCACACCCTGACATTTATTGACCTGCACTAAATTTAGTACTGAAATGCATTTTACTTAGTCTATCTCTTATTTGGGGGTCAATAAGTTTTTGATGCTCTTGACATTGTAAATATAATTATGGTGAACACATAGTGAAATCAATATAAATAATCATGAATAGTTTAGGATAAATTCCAATAAGTAACATTTCTGAGACAAAAAGTATGTACATTTTGTGAAATTTCCTTCCAGAAATATTCTATGTACAGTCTTTCCACTGATATAACCTCTAATCAATATTCCCTTGCCAATACATGGGTTTATGAAAAAATTACTTTTGGCTATGAAGTAAATTAAATAATAACATAACAATTATGTAACATAACAGTTTTAACAATTATAAATACAATTTTAGTTCTTATTTTGCATTTATCTAAATACTGGTGAAGTTGAACATTTTATTTTGCTATTTGAATTTTTAGTTTTGTGAATATTATGCTCCTTGTGTTTGATGATCTCAGACAATATATTCCCAATCTTGAACTCATCTTTGCTGTCTCAGATTCTACCACTTGACAGCTGGGTCATCCTGGTAACTTAGAGCCTAAATTACCTCTTCTGCAACCTAGAGGCAGTGATTCTGCCTTATGAGTCCATTGAGATCTGAAAGTGTTGCTTATAATATACTTGGAAATATAAGTACCATGGATCTTCCTGGCTATGCGGCCTTGGGCAGGTTATCTAACCTCTCTATGCCTCAGTTTTCTCATCTATAAAATGAGAATAATAATAGAACTTACACCTAGGGCTGATCTGAGGTTTATATGAGTTAGTTAATAAGGAAAATTCAAATTAGTGCCTAGCATACAGGGAGAACTCAGTACATGTTACCAATTCCAATCTATGTCGGATCTTCAAGACCTTCTTAGGGCAGCAGAGAGTGATTTCCTGAAACAAGTTCATGAAAGAATCTTCACATGTTGAGGCTGCAAGACCCCTAGTAAAGCACGTTCTTCCCTTACACCTGGGATATTGGGCCCCAGAGCAGGAAAGAAATTCACTGAAAATCTGCCAGCCTATCAGTGGCAAGACAAGCCTGGACTGCAGTTCTGCCGAGGTTGTTCTGCAAAGATAACTTGCCTGACCTGCTGGAGGTTACCTTCAATTTGAGGGGTTTTTCATGGTTGAAGAAAGTCTTTCATGTACTAGAACATGTTTATCTGGTGGGGAACTTGGTCACCCTGCAGCCCAGCAGAGAGCAGGGCCTATCCCAGGAAGGCAGGAAATGTCACCATCTAGGACAGATCAGCATGGGAGCAGCTCCTGTCCAGGCCCAGGGCATCCCAAGGACATAGGGACAGGGAGGGGTTCCAAGACTTTCTCACTCTGCATGAGATTGAGTGAGTCTAAAGAGTTTCATGGTTCCCACCAGGGCCCTTAGATACCCTCCTACGCATTCCAATGACCCCAGTCTAGTGATAGCAACTCTACTTAAGGGCTTGAACTTTCTTTTTTGGGGGGTACCTGGGATCGAACTCGGGTCCTTGGGCTTGCACAGCAAGTGGCGAAACCACTGAGCTAAAACCCTGGCAAGCTTGAACTGTCTAGTGCAAGGTCCAGCCCCAGGGGCCACTTGTAGCTTCCACTTGGTTGAACCTCAGGTATTTTTTTCTCCTCTCCCAGGTGCTCTCAAGATGCAGTGGCAGGGCAGGTGTTGTCAGAGTTGTTTACCAACAGAAAGGAGGACATTCCTCTCAAGTTTTCTGAAGACTGTCTGTACCTAAATATTTACACTCCTGCTGACTTGACAAAAAAAAGCAGGCTGCCGGTAAGCTTGGGAACATTGGGCAGCAATATTGAGTTCTAGCACCCAGGATCACCCAGCACAGGGGCAGCATGGAAGGCATAGAAGCAGCTTGGCGAGGGGCCACCAGGAGTCAGGACTGATTCAGGGCCCCAAAGCTTCCTTTCACCACAGAAAATACAAGTTTTCCTTAACTTCTTTTCCCTTAGTGACCTCAGGAATCAGAGGAGATTGCTGTCCAGCTGGAATGCATAGTTGTTTTTTTTCAAGTTCTCTCATATTGATAGGACAAGAACAATTACTCTTAGCTACAAATTAAGAATCTCACCGGGAGAACATCTAAGACATAATTAGAGCTGAAGCAATCTGAAAGAAAGAAGGATATTTATAGAAAGACGGTGAGACTCAGATAGGGGAAAGGAGTTCCCATAGTACTGTTGACAATACAGGAGCTTAGGTTTCGATCTTTAAACCAGTGCTTTTTGACACAGATTGGGAAATGGCGGACTATGCATTTTTGTACACGCAACACATTGAGCAATGTTCCTTATACTGTGAAAACTTTTACTATTCTATGACAGAGATTGTTGGAACACAGCTTGGGACAATCCCAGAAGCAATTTCCTTGCCTTTGCTAGCCATGCGCAGTTACATTTTAACTCATTTCCCTCCCTAATTACCCTTGGCACAGGTCGGTGTTCTAGTGAGATAGCATTACCCAAATAAATGAAGGCCATAGGAGAGGATGGGGGACAGCATAGTGGAAAAGAGGCAGTTCTGGAGTGAAAGAGGGAGGCTGTCAGCACCCAGCCAATCTCCCATAAACACCCTGGCATGGAGCTCGGGAGTGGGGGATCAGGGATGGACACTAGGAAGTTGATCCTTCACATGGCAAGGATCACTGGAGAAGAAACCTGGTTTTTAGTAGTTATTGGTAGGAGATCCTGCAGCTATGAGCACAAATTTTAGAACTACAGGGCCAGGGTTTAATGCTGGGTCTGCCTTTGATTGAGAGCCCTGGGCAATTTCTATATTTCTCTCAGCCTCTGTTTCATCAAATGGGATTAATCACGTATAAGTATTCAATGAATGTCAAGCTTAATCTCAGCCCTGCTGAGTACACAAAACCAGCACTGATGCCAGACTAGTTAGAGCTGCAGGAAGATCTTCCTCCTGCCCTATCAGCCTAGCTGCAGCATTGTGGCCATGGGGAGCAGGGAGAGGACAGCTGATTTTGTGGATTCTGGGGGCAGACCACCTAGTTCAAGTCCTGCTGGTGGTAATTGATAGCTGTAGGATCACGTACAGGTAAACTGCTTCAGTTTTCCTGTGAAATGGAAAAATATTAGTACTTAACTTATGGATTGGTTATTCTAATGTACTTAGAGCATCTCTTGGTGCATATTTCATTTTATGACTTTTTATTAACAATATTATTTTATACACTCTAATTTTTTCCCTTCAGTGGAAGCCCTTTTTATCCAAAAATATGAATTGTGGTATCCCTCCTCATCTTCAATTCTTATCACAGTTCCTGGCACAAATAGGTTCTCATACAGTATTACTCAAATAACCAATGGTTTCTTGGAAGAGGTGAACAAAAGCAGGGCTCAGGAAAGTGGGAGGACTTTAGAGAGGAAGCGCATTAGGAAGAGACACTACTGGGAGCATGTGTGCTTCTTGAGACAACCATTCATGCACAAGGAAGTTGAATTCACCACTAAAGTGTTACTTGAGATGAAGGAGAAACACAAGGGCTGAGAATGGTGGAATGTTGGGGAGAACACAACACCCTTGGCCTTTGCTATTTCCACTGTGATATTCTCAGTTTAAAGAGCCTTGGGAGAATGTGGCACTTGGGTCTGAGAAAAAATACAGGGGTAGCTAGTAAGCATTGAGTGCTATTGTGAATTGAGTCCTAGCCAGGAGAGTTGGGGAGGAGAGAGACTCTCTTTTTCAACCTCACTGGGCACTAGTGAATGAGACAATTTCGTCCTTGAATTGCAGCCAAGATACAAGTGATCAAATGATACAACCTCTGAGGTCCTTTCCAATTCTGCTGCCTGTAACCAGTGTGGTTGGGTTTTCTTTTCCAGGTGATGGTCTGGATCCATGGAGGTGGTCTTGTGGTGGGCGGGGCATCCACCTATGATGGAGTGCCCCTTTCTGCCCATGAAAACATAGTGGTGGTAACCATTCAGTACCGCCTGGGCATCTGGGGATTCTTTAGGTAAGGTCTAGATCTACCCTTTCTGCATATTAGCTCATTTATTGGTCTGTTTTCTGTTTATATAACAAAATATCTGAGGATGGGAAATTCTAAAGAAAACAGATTTATTTAGCTCAGAGTTTGAGAGACTAAAAGTTCAAGATTTGGAAGTTTTATCAGATCAGTCTGGTGAGGGCTCCTTGGCTACACTGCAACATGGTATGGAAACACAGAGAATGCACATGGTGCAGAAGAGATCATATGGACAGAAAGGAAGCAAGAGAGCAGTGTAGAGATCTTGATGTTTTTACAACTCACTCTCTGTAGAACTAACCATATGTCCATGAGCACTACACAGATTCCTTCTGAGGACAACACCTTCTTGATCAGTTTCCACTAGGTCCTATTATTAATTAAAATTGCCATATTAGTAACCAGGTTCTAGCACATGAACCCTTGGAGGACAAACTATATCCAAACATATTAGGCATCATAGCAAAGATACACTGCCCACCACAAGACTACCTTTGTCATGTCAGTGTTTATGGCACCCTTCCCACAATCTTTTATAATGCATCCAAGTACCTTCATTATTTGAACCAACCTAACTTCTATTCACCAACCACCCTTGTGGACATGGTTCTGAGCTTTTTCATACACTGCTCCCACTGCCTAGAATGCCTACCCTGCTTGTCAAATTCCTATTCATCCTGCAAGGTCCAGCCCTCATGTTACTGAATCTTAAATACTCATTTCCTTTCATGTGTGCTGCCCTAGTACACTGTGGGCTTTTCTGATGAAACTAAGCATCCATCAGTGTAGTTGCAGTTTGCTGAAATATCACACCAAGACCTATCCATGCCTCTTTCTTCACTCTGAGCACCTTTGGTTCAACCTACTTTTACTATCTGAGAGTATAGTTTCTTTTCACCTGTTGTTTGCAGTCTACTGTGTGAGCAGAGGAGTGAGAGACTGCTTGTTTTCTTCCCAAATGTGCACTAGCTCTCAGGCCATGTGGGATGCATAGTAGATGCTCAGGCCACTGGTGCTGGAAAAATGAATATAGAGTCCTCTACAGGACACTGCTATGGGAATGAGAGGAGGCAGGTGAAGTTCGCTTTCTTTGGAATGCACAACTCAGACTATTCTACAAGGCTCACCAAGAGCCCCAGGCCCATCTGTGGTCCTGGGAGCCCTTCCATGTCATCTCTGCTTTCATCCCCACCTTGATCTCTTACAGCACAGGTGATGAACACAGCCGAGGGAACTGGGGTCACTTAGACCAGGTGGCTGCGCTGCACTGGGTCCAGGACAACATTGCCAACTTTGGAGGGAACCCAGGCTCTGTGACCATCTTTGGAGAGTCAGCTGGTAGTCAAAGTGTTTCTGTTCTTGTAAGTGTTCCTAACTCTATGTCCCACCCCAGGGCTTAACGTGGTTCTGATGGAACCTCTTCAAGACCACCCAATCCAACCATGACCACTTTTGTTTACAATGTGGATTGGATTTGACTCTACTCATGGTACAGCATCAGATGGTGGAGAGCCTAGGCTCAAATTCTCCTTGGCCCCAGGGTTGAACTTAATGTCTTGGGACCATAGGCATCTCCAGCTCAGGCTGCAGCTTCAACATTCCTCCTTCAAATTCACACTTGGATGAATTCTCTTTTTTTTACCTAATCATTTTATGACGAGGATTCACCTGTGACTCTTTGGAGGTAGGGGTGGGTATAAACTATAAATAGGAAGAAGGCAAGGACATGAGTTGTATAAAGTGTCATTATTTTGCTCCAAGCCAGTTCACTATGTTGAGGGAACTTGAGTTCTGAGAGCAGGCAGAGGTTGTCTCTGAAGTGTTCTGATGACTTGTTCATGCCCAAGAGGGAGGGGGGGCAGCAGTCTCTGTGACTTAGGGATAAATTGGGGTGGGGGAGATAGCTGAGAGGAAAGACAGATGTAAAGTGGAACAGGGAAAGATGGGACAGGGGATGTGGGACAGAGATACACACTAGACATGGAATTACTTGAGGGTATGGAGAATGGGCCCTAAGGAATGTTAGGGCAGTCATAGAACATTCTGGTAGCTTCTTGCAATGTAGAGTTGAGCCCTCTCCCTGTAGTTTTCAAACATGTATTGGTTTCATGGTTGAATTCTCTGAGGGAAATGTTTTTGTATTTTTTAATCTAGAGAAAAAGGAAAAGTACAAATAAATACAAAAAGGGAAAAAGTAATCTATATTTCCACTACCTGGGTATTTTGTATTTTGTTAGAAGGCTCTCTGTCTCCCTCTCTCTCTCTCTCTCTCTCTCTCTCTCTCTGTCTCTCTCTCTCTCCCTCTCTCCTTCTTCTCTCCCCCTATCCAACCTACTGGTCCTCTATTCATCTTTCCTCTCTGTCACAAGTCTTAGATTTTTTTTACAAGCAAACCATTTCTTTAATATTACTGCATAGCATAAATGTTTCTCTAAACACTAAAACATTAATGCTCTTAAGCTAAACTATGTTTTATTATTGCATAGTATTCTAAAGAATGAAAAATCATTTGTTTACACAACCTCATTATCACCTTGAATTTTTCCCAATATTCACTATTATAAACAGCATGAACATCCTTAAATATCTTAGTGTGTCTCCAAGGTCTTTTTCTTTCTTATTTTTTTTCTAATAGTGCTGGGATCAAACCCAGGTCTCAGGCATGCCAGACAAGAGCTCTATCATGCAGCTATGTAACTCATTTTTTATGACAATTTTTCTTACAATATACTATGAGTAATGGAAATGCTGAGACAATTTTTTTCTGGAAATTACTAACATCTTTTGATCCTTTCGATCATAGTGAAAGCATGTGGCTACACTTTCTATTCTATCCCTGACTCTGAGCTCTACTTCCTTCCAGCTGAGGTTTTCTTTGGGAAGCCAGGCGTCAGGCCCCAGAAGGGAGACTGGGAAGCAAGAGGGAAAGGTGAGGAGCTGTCATGTCCACAGAACATCAGAGTTTCCACCTGAGTGGCCATGGCAGAGAAGCAAGTGGAGGGAACCCTATGGAGCAAGGGAGTCACTGACCCCCTCCCTGTGGGCATAAATTCTTCTCCTCTTCACTCCCCTGCCAGGTGTTATCTCCTGTAGCTAAAAACCTCTTCCACAAGGCCATTTCTGAAAGTGGTGTGGCCCTCATTGCTGCTCTGTTCAGGAAGGACATCAAGCCTTTGGCTGAGGTAGGTCTCACTTTGGACAGCTCTCCTACCTGTTCCATTTTTCTCATGGACTCATCAAGGGTCTTTCCTATAGTGGGATTCAGCTGAGGTCCTCAATGGATTACTGAACTCAGGATGGCTGAACAGGAAGTAGTCCTTCAGGGTTCACATTTAAAGCACATCCTATACTTTCTAGATTTTTTTTTTTTTTGGTACCAGGGATCAAACTCAGGTCCTTGAGCTTTTGAGGCAGGCAGCGGAAACACTGAGCTACATCCTGGGCCCAACCCTATACTTTGTAAAGAGTCTTGGTGTGGATCGTCTTATCCAGGCTTCCTGAAGTTTTGAATAAGTTTGAGTATATAAGAGGTATGGTGCCCTCCTAAGTATGTCATGTATATTAACTCTCCTTATAACATAAATACAATCATTGCCCTGATGTGTGGATGGGGAAACCAAGGCCACATGGCAAGGAAAGGAGGTGTAATTGAAAACAGAGAGAGAAATTCTGGAATTCATACCCTTCATCCCTAGTCCCCACAGACTTTCTTGAGACACTGAAGTTTGAGAACATCATGCTTATTTTAATAGACATAATATAATGGAGATACAAATACTTAACTGGATAATGTCACAAATCCAGCTAGTAACAAAGGTAATACTCTATGGGACCAAGAACTCACACCTGCTGGTCTAAAGTATTTGTGGCTACCCCATGACATTCAGAAATTGATGTTGGGAGAGAACTTTCCTGTGATCTCTGCAGAAAATTGCTGTTACTGCTGGGTGCAAAACCACCACATCAGCCATCATGGTTCATTGCCTGCGACAGAAGACAGAGGATGAGCTCTTGGAGACAACTCTGAAAATGGTAGGTGCATCCATTGTAGTGGTTCCTAGTCTACACACTTGGTCCCAGGCTTCATCTTCTCACCCTGGACAAACCACCTGGAACAGTTTCTCACCTCTCCTGGGCAGTGTTAGCCTCTTGATCCAAACTGAGAATTTCATTTTTATTGTGAATTTCCTCAAGTATTAAAAAAGGGCCAATGATACCATGATGAAAAATTGCATAATACTCTCCTAGCTCTTTCACAACTTTGCATTTTGTTATTTTTGTTTTCAGATGTATTTTAAGAAATAAAAGATTCAGGGGCCAGGGATTTAGCTCAGTGGTGCTGTTGTCTGCCCCTCAAGTGCAAGGTCCCAAGTTCGATCACTGGTACCAAAAAAAAAAAAGAAAAAGAAAAGAAATAAATGATTCAACATTCTCAGAAGTTTCCACCATCTTGAATTTTTGAGTTGAGACTATTAAATACAAAGTTTTTCAGAAATATGTCACAATTTATCTTGATTAATTTAGAAAATATTCGAATTTTAACGTTGCAGTAGCCTAGTTTTGTATATTTTCTGACACTCTGCCTCATTTATTCATTTGTATTCTATCCATCGCATTCACTGATATTTTCATTATTCTACTATCAATCCATAGATAATGTTTTATTCATATATTTTCAATCCATCATGATTATGAGTCATCCAGTCTAAATCTATCTGTACTCCTTCACCTAGTCCTACAAAAACAAAAATCTTCCATCACCTTTTAGTTGTTCTTTTCCTTTTTAGCCCTATGTCCATTCAACTTGTCAATAATTCATGTATTGACCTACTCCATCAATTCTTCCTACCCCCATCCATCCTTCCGTCCACCCATCCATTTACCCATAAATCCATAAGTCAGTGGAATGTCAACAGAAGTGATGCTGATGTAAATTGAACATTATTCCTGTACACAAGGGATAATCCAAAGAGAAAGAATCATATATTTTAAAGGATAAATGCGGTTGAGAGCTCAGAAGGGATATATTCATTATCACCAGTGGGGGTAACACTGGAAGACTGATAAATAGCTATGGCAGTCTGTCATCAAAGAGAAGCTCAGCAGGACAAACATTCAGAGAAAAGATGATCCAGCACCCATGGGAACTGCTTTCCGTGGGGAAGGCAGTCACATGAGACTCCACTCTCTCTGTTTGGACTTTAGTCACTGGAGAATACTTCTAGATTCTCAGAGCAAGCTTCTATCACTGTTTGTTTCCTGTATGCTCATGGACTGTGGGCTTTGGGATTCAGTCTTAATACACCAGGCTTAAATAAGATGATCAAGGTATTCAAACATAGCTGTTTTCTAATACCTGGAAAGAAGCAAATATATTAGTCCTTCTCTAAGTATAACAAGAGAATGCAGCTTATATGGAAATTATAAGTGACTGGGAAAATCCAGAGAACCTAAGATACCAGAGCATCTGTTGAGATTTTTCTGAGTTTTTGTGGAAGTGCTTCCATGGTTACCCAATACACCCCCACACACACACACACAGAGCAACCCCCTCACAAGTGTTACAACTCATAATAAATGGCATCTCTAGTGGTTGTTTCCTCTTCACGGTCAGACCTGTTATGTAAAGTGTCACATTGCCCTCTTGATGAATGCACAGCAAAGAAATATGTGGGTTGCATTGACTTTCATCAAGCTTTCAAAAGCAAGCATTTTGTAATTCAAGATAAGAAAGCTCAAGTTGACTTGAAGAGAAAAAGGAATGTGTTGTGACAGAGTCTTCGAGTAACTGGAAAGTTCAGGAGCAGATGGGTTAGATCATTTGTGGATCCAGGTGCTCTGAAGATTTTATTGGGAATCTGTCTGCCTATATTTCACATCTTTCCCCTTTTCTTTGTTGACTTTTGTCTGGACAAGATCTGTCCCCTGAGGAGGTTTAAAGGAGCAACACTCCATACATATTTACATACTATCTACTCAGAAACCATATATATATGTATATGTATATGTATATGTATGGACAACTTTAGAAATGGGTTTTGGCTTGAATACTTTTGAACCAACACTAGCATGGATCCATCCTTGAACTAATCACTCTGTTCAGGGTCATGGAGACTTCGGGTCACTTACAGATTCATGAAGTGGATGTGGGGAAGAGGGAATGGAGGTGAGGTTATGGGATGATTGGAAATCTGTCTCCTGCACATCTGGGAACATCCAGCCCCTGTCCCCCTAAGGGTATGGTATCCTCATCACTGCCAGGACCTCATTTTAACTTTTCTCCAAGATGACATTCAGGGTGTTGGTTCCAGGCAGATAATATTAGGGGAAAGGATGAAGAAGAGGGCAGGCCTCAACAGCAGACTTCCTCTCCAAAGCTCCAGTTACCCAGACTCTGGGTTTCAGGGCCTGACCTTTCCTTGCTGGTGTCTGACCCGCCCTCTCCTACTCTTCCACCCTCTGCTCATGCCCCATGGAGCCCCTGTGTTGGTCTTCCTCTGGGCCCAGCCAAGGAGGCAACAGAAGGGAGAACCTGACACCTATCAGATGTAGCTGGAAGGATCAGCTTCAATCCAGGAAGCCTTCTCATCACATCCTCTGCCTTTCTCTTCACAGAATTTTTTTAGTGTGGATTTTTTTGGAGACCCCAGAGAGGTAAGAACCTTTACTTTCTTGATTATATGATTTGAATCTAAACACCTTTAAGCATCCTTTCACTAGAAGTGAATAAGTTTGTTATCAAGTGAGTCACTCCTTACATGTACATTGCTGGGGCCCAGTAAGGGGATGTAATTTACCAAAGCAACACAGCCAGGAGAACCACAGGTAAGACTGGAATTCACAACCCTAACTCTCTGCTCAGTGCTCCCAGTTACTAATTCTGTGTTCATGGCCTTACTGCCTCTCTCTCTCTCATATTCTTGCCTCCCAAAATGGTCCTGTCAGAAGAGACTAGAACCTGCCACTCTAAGAGGGCAGAGATAACTATATAGGGAGCTCAGGAACCTTCAGTGAGGAAGACAAGTCTCTTGGGAGGACACAGGGCATATTAGCTGTGTGGGAAGGGAACTGAAGACCTCAGCCCTGAGGATACCACCCTCCTACCAGCACCCAGGAAACTCCATCTTCTTTTATTTTTCTAAGTCCAACTTCCAAACAGTTGCCAGGGTCTGGTGACATTGGCTACGTTATGTCTTACAATTTTATTCTCTCTTCCCCCTCCCTGGGTATCTTAGCACTTCCCTTAAGGGTTTTGTAAGAATGAAATAGCATCTATTCATTCATTCAACAAAGATTCAGTAAGCATTAACTATGAGCCAAAGCTTGATTTTAGCAGTTGGGATATAATAGTGAAACAGAAAAGATTCCTTACAGTTTGAATTTTTCCATTAAACGGAGGGGAGAGTGAATCAGAAAAAATTAATAAGTAAACTACACGGTGTACTTGACATGATCAGAGGGAAGGGAAAAATGAAAGCGAGAAATGGAGACAGAGTAGGGCAGTGATGTGAATGTAAACAAAAGGGCCAGGGGATGACTTGATGAGTAGATGACACTTGAGTTGAGCTGTGAAGAAGGGAACGATCCAGCTGTCAGCAAACCTGGAGGAAGAGTGCTCCTGGTGGAGGAAACTGCATCTGCAAAGGCCCTGATGCAGGAGGCCATTGTGTTTGGGGAGGAGGGGAAGGAGCAGGCTGGAGACTGAGGAGATCACAGGAGGTGGGTGGGGGTGGACGCTGAATGGACTTGGATTGTGATCAAGCATGAGATGGGTGAGTTCAGAGAGCCTTGAAAAGAGCAGTGACATGATCTTAGATTTCACAAAGGTTTCTGACTGCAATGTGGAGACAGGAGCGATGGGGCAGGGCAGATGCAGAGAGAACATCTGGGAGGCCACTGTGCTGCCATAGCCCACTCAAGGGGTCCAGGTGGATTTTATAAGGGCTGGAGCAGTGAGGAGGAGGAAGTGAGCAGAGTCTGGGTGCTTTTAAAGAAAGAATCGACAGGATTTGTTGACAGAAAGGGTGTGCACTGGGAAAAAAGAGAAGAAAGAAAGCCCCTGATTTTTCTGACCCAAGGAGGCAACGTGCATAGCCTCATGGGGGAGCTCCTAGTGTCCCTGTGCAGACACTGCAATAGCTGTCATTCTCACAGCGGCTGACACCAGTGTTCCTTCATGGATGCTGCCCAACTCGGGCCCCCAGTGTCTGTCTTCTCCTCTTCTTTCCCACCTTACTCCCACGCCCTCTGGTGTCACCAGACTCACCCTTCTAAACACAAGTTAGAGCATATATTTCCCCTCTTATAAGTCTGACCTTGCTTACAAGACAAATCCCTTTGCCTCCACTAAATCAATTCCTCAAAAAATGCCCAAGGGCCAAAGATGTGCCAGATATGTAGAAAATGTACCTTACTACCTGGCCTTCTCTCACATCCTTGTCCATAGGCATTCCTACAACTCTGGAGTCTTTGAAGTTCCTGAAATTAGCCCTACACAATGACATCTCTTTCTCTTTGCTCATGTTGGCCTACTGTTTTGAAATTTCCACTCTTAGCCCGTCAGTAGCACTGCTCCCCACCCCCCCAGAGCCCACTGCGGATGGCAAGCCGCAGCTCCACACTGCCTGCCTTACATCTTCCTTCACATGAGCTGCTGCTTTTGCTGGCTTCTGAATTGCACAGCCTGTCTACCATAGCAGCAGTTGCACCCAGAGCATGTTCTGTACTGCCAGCCTATTGCAGCAGGATCTGGCCCTCATCTTAATCTTTTCTTCCTCTCAAATTGGGAATCATGCCTCAGTCCCTGCTCTTTCACTGATGAGCTTAATTACTCCTAGCCATTTATCCAAAGCTGACCATTTATCCAAAAACAGCTAAGTTTAAATATTCATAGAGACGTGTAGTCAAACCTCAGTAATCAAGAATTCTGTATTGTGAATTCACTTTCTGGTTAAAATGTGTTTGTAACTGTGACATCAATATTTGTGACAGGCTAATCTACATTTTCAATATATGCACAGGGTCCTGAGAAGCTTGAGTCACCTGATACCTAGGTACCCATCTGAGGTCAAACAAGGAAACACTGAGTCTTTTTGCTTCTTGCTTTCACTCTAATCATAACTATTGTCCTTTTTGTCATTTATTTAGTGCCTTAGTTTTTTTTTAAATTAGTGGCTTTTTGTTAGTGATTTCTCTGTTTAAAATGTCCCACAAGCATAGTGAGAAAGAACTACATGGTGTCTCCACCCCCAGGGGACTGTGATGAGCCTTACAGAGAAGATACAATGATAGATACACTTCTTTCAGGCTTGAGTCATGCTGCTCTCAGCTACAAGTTCAGTGTTAATGAGCCAAGGATACATCCAGAAGAAGAGATTTGCCAATCTGTAGGTGGAGCCATTCTGAAAAGTACTAATTAACATTCATAGTGTGTGGAACAGCTATAAAAAGATGGAAAAGCAGCTAAAATTGTGGATTCATAAGATGGCAAATTTTTTTAAAAGCATACTATTCAACATTGTTGTGAAGCAGAAGCCAAAGAAATTTACAATTATGTTATGCAAGGTTAGGAAAATGTTAAGCTTTTTCTGCCTAGTGTGTGTTTTATTGTTGTTTTTGTTTTGTTTTGTTTTAGTTTTGGTACAGGGGATTAAACTCGGGACCTTGCACTTTTGAGGCAGGCAGCAGAACCACTGAGCTAAACCCCCAGCCCTTGGCTAATGTTTTATTATGCATAATATAACTCATTCATTGTTAAGATCTCTATACTCAAAAAGTGACTTTTAAATAGCAAGCCACACATAAAACAAGGGTGATGAAAATGTTCTCACCCAGAGGGTATTCACTACAAATGTACACATAACTGCTATGAATAATGTGAATGACTTGTGATAGAAAAATAAGTTGAATGTTTAATTTTTTTAAATTATTAGAGGAGGGCCAGGGATTTAGCTCAGTGGTTCTGCTGCCTGCCTCGAAAGCGAAAGGACCCGAGTTTGATCCCTGGTACCTTGGTACCAAAAAAAAAAAAAAAAATTAAAAAAAATTATTAGAGCAAAAGACACATTGGCATTAGCCCCCCTCAAAATACTTCTGTTGTGCCCAGATAGCGAAGTCCCCAAAGACCATCAAGGAGCCTATTCCAATGTAAACACACGAGGGTCGTTTATTCAAGCTCGAGCAGGGACACTCAATCGTCACCGACACAGCGGATCAGGATTGAGAGCCCCGAATTCCAAATCAGCAGGGTTTTTATTGTGGCTACTGCAAGGTTTGGGGATGTTTCATTTAGCAGTTACATGATTGGTTGATATTTAGCAAGCATGGGGGGTTGAGGGGTGGCTGCATGTAGAGTTTATGGGAAAAAGGAACAATCAGCACATTGACAGAATGTTCTATAGATAATGGGCCCGGGAGCATCTGTTTTCTGGGCAGACAGAGGATTGAGTTAGGAGCTGTGTCTCTTTTTTTTTATCTGTTGTCCCACAACAAGGACATTTTATCATTATTTTATGGACACAAAGGAGACTAGGGGAATAGTTGACTTCAGTGAAGTAGAATTTATGTCAAGGCCACTTCACTGTCTTACTTTAAGATGGAGTCAAACTTTAAAATGGAGTTAGTTAGGTCTCACATTCCCCCTTTCTCATGAAGTTATAGAGGACCAATCATGGACCTCTGGGGGCCAATTCTATTAGGTCTTCAGAAACTGGTTGGTACTGGGACCTAAGTACCATCAGCTGTGCTGCGCTAATGCGTTCTCTGATGAAGGATACCAGCCTGTTAAGTAGGTAAGGTCCAAATGTTAACAGGAGTAACAAAATGAGTAATGGTCCCAGCAGGGTAGAGATCAGAGCGGTCAACCATGGGGAGGAATTGAACCAAGATTTGAACCAAGCTTGATTTTGTTTCCCAGTCTCTAATATCCCATGTTCCTGCTGCTAGCAGGCACAGGTCAAAGTCTATAGCAGGCCACTAGGTCAGCAGCAGTGCCACTTTAAATGAACTGTTAACAATGTCACCTGTGGAGGTACTAATGATAACCCAGGTTAGGTTTAGAGGAGCATGTGGGTTTTGTCCTCCCCTTACCGATGTTAAAAGTACAGTTGCCATAATTATGACTGACGACGGTGCAGTTTGAGTTTGAGTGGGTTGTCTCGGTCTTTGGACACCTGCCATGATGGGATGAAGTCTTCTAGAACAGAGTGTGGATCTGCGAGACGGGCGTGAGTGTAATGTATCCACGAGACAATCCCATCGACTTTGAGAGTGGTGGGCGTGGTCAAAACAATAACATAGGGTCCCTTCCAGCAAGGCTCAAGGTTTCCCTGTCGATATCTTTGGACAAAAACCCAGTCCCCTGGTCGATAGCGATGGGGCTCAGGTGGTGGTCCAGACTCATACAGGGCCTTTAATTTAGGCCAGATGTCTTCATGAACAAGCTGGAGGCTCTTTAAGGAAAATAACAGCTTTTGATCATCAAATTCAGCAAGTACCGCAGATTGAAAGTTAGGGATAATGGGAGGAGGTATCCCAAACATGACCTCAAAAGGGGTTAGTCCCATTTTATAGGGCGAATTGCATACCCTATAGAGAGCATAGGGTAGGAGAGTCACCCAGCCACCGCCAGTCTCTAAGGTTAATTTAGTCAAGGTCTCTTTTAGGGTTTTATTTATTCTTTCTACCTGTCCTGAACTCTGGGGTCTGTATGTACAATGCAATTTTCAATTTGCCCCCAGTATCTGTGCTAAACTTTGACTCACCTTGGAAATGAAGGCGGGTCCATTGTCTGACCCTAACATTACTGGGAAACCATACCTTGGCAAGATGTCTTCTAGCAGCTTTTTGGCCACAACCTGTGCCATCTCATGTTTGGTGGGGAAGGCCTCTGTC